TTTTTTTTTTTTTTTTTTTTTTTTTTTTTTTTTTTGAGACGGAGTTTTCACTCATGTTACCCAGGCTGGAGTGCAATGGCGCGATCTCGGCTCACCGCAACCTCCGCCTCCCGGGTCCAGGCAATTCTCCTGCCTCAGCCTCCTGAGTAGCTGGGATTACAGGCACGCGCCACCATGCCCAGCTAATCTTTTGTATTCTTAGTAGAGACGGGGTTTCACCATGTTGACCAGGATGGTCTCGATCTCTTGACCTCGTGATCCACCCGCCTCGGCCTCCCAAAGTGCTGGGATTACAGGCTTGAGCCACCGCGCCCGGCCCAAATTTTTTTTTTTTTTTAGTTGTTTGCAAATGGCTGTTACTTTGGGCACTAAGCCCAGCTTTCCTTAATCTCACTGTCTTTGTCTTTTTCTATTTCAAGATACTTTGAAAATTAGTGGTTTATTTTCTAAAAATGAAGTAAATTATCTCTACATTCCTCTTAAACGATATTTTATTATTAGATGGCTTAAAGCAATACTGTTTGGCTTTTCAATACTATATGTGAAAACTGATCATATTGCATGTCAAATTTTATTCACCCATGGTTTGATAATAATAGCTACAACACTTACAGGGTGCTACTGTTACTATTCTAGGTGCTTTATATGTATTGTTCATTTATTCCACACAACAACCCTACAAGTACCAATATTATCCTGTTTTTTATTTTTTGAGATGGAGTCTTGCTCTCATCACCCAGGCTGGAGTATAATGGTTTGATCTCAGCTCACTGCTAACTCTGCCTCCTGGGATTCTCCCGCCTCATCCTCCTGAGTAGCTGGGATTACAAGCATGCACCACCATGCCAGGCTAATTTTTTGTATTTTTAGTAGAGATAGGGTTTTACCTTATGGGCCAGGCTGGTCTTGAACGCCTGACCTCAGGTGATTTGCCCGGCGTAGCCTCCCAAAGTGCTGAGTCAGAGCCTGGCCATATTATCCCTTTTATAAATGAGAGATTTACCATACTTGCTTTAGTACAGATCTATATTCAGTATTGGAAAAATAAACCATGTTTGGCAGGGCTTATCAGTGAAGCTAGGAAGTTGGCCAGTTAAAGCAGGAAACCAATAGAAGAAAGGGAAGTAGTAGTAGAAGCTTGTTTGGAGGTTTCTTGAACCTTACTCTATTCTCCAAACAGAATTTCAAACAAAAAAGGCTTAGGCAATTCTTTTAAGCTGTTATTCAAAGGAGAATTACTTTCTTTTTAGCCCTAGGTCAACAAATAATTTACTAGTTTTTGTGAAGGCACGATCTGGAATTTATATATGGATTTTATTATGATCATGAAACATTAGCCTTTTGTAATCTTCAAAAGAACAGAGAAGCTCAGGAACATAGAAATATAGGAGCCCTTCTTCAAGTTAGAATAGGAACAAAGTGCACAAATTCCAATTATTCCTTTTGATGGTTGATTATCTCATGATGGCTATGGGACAGCAACTCTTTGTAGAGTAGCTGCAGTTAGCCAGGAGCAAGTAGAAGTCTAAAAGTAGATCTGACAACCCAACCATATGTTGATCTGGAAAGCCCTTTTCTATTTGTAGGTATTTTGGTGGACTATTTATTGTATGTATATAAATGTTTTTATATGTTTTATATGATGATTATATGAGTTTATGTGATGATATGATTCAATTTTACATAATTGAAAACCCAAAGTTGTGTAACGGTTCCAGAGTTGTAGAATAAAAATATCTTTAAAGATTAAAGAATTATATAAGATGAAAAGAATCATATGAAAGCATTAAGTCCCATTTTAATTCTATTTATTTATTTCTTTTTTCTTTTTTTCTTTTCTTTTTTTTTTTTTTGAGACGGAATTTCACTCTTGTTACCCAGGCTGGAGTGCAATGGCGCAATCTCGGCTCACCGCAACCTCCGCCTCCTGGGTTCAAGCAATACTCCTGCCTCAGCCTCCCGAGTAGCTGGGCGCGCGCCACCATGCCCAGCTAATTTTTGTATTTTTAGTAGAGACGGGGTTTCACCACGTTGACCAGATGGTCTCGATCTCTTGACCTGGCGATCCACCCGCCTCGGCCTCCCAAAGTGCTGGGATTATAGGCGTGAGCCACCGCGCCCGGCCTTTAATTCTATTTATGATAGTTTCAGTTTGTTGTCTATAACCTTTTCATTAGCCTTCTCAAACAAGGGGTTAAATTTCAGTGGACTCAATTCTTCCAAATGTTAGGAGGAATATCTGTCCATTCTCTCCAAAAGTAGAAAGCCTAGAAACTAAAGTAGAAACTATCAGAAAACTCTAGAAACTAGAAACTCTAGAAAATAATCTATTACTAAGTTAGCTTTCCATGTTTGTTAACTGTACTATAAAGCTTTTAAACCTTTAAATATCTGAAATACTTTTCATAAGAAACTCAGAGAAGTTAAGGGAAAAACTGGAAGGAAAACAGTAACTGGATTGTCAGTTGCCTTGTGTTGAGAAAAAGGGGCAGCTGGCTGGGCGCGGTGGCTCACGCCTATAATCCCAGCACTTTGGGAGGCTGAGGCGGGTGGATCACGAGGTCAAGAGATCGAGACCATCCTGGTCAACAAGGTGAAACCCCGTCTCTACTAAAAATACAAAAATTAGCTGGGCATGGTGGCGCGCGCCCGTAGTCCCAGCTACTCGGGAGGCTGAGGCGGGAGAATTGCTTGAACCCAGGAGGCGGAGGTTGCGGTGAGCCGAGATCGTGCCATTGCACTCCAGCCTCGGTAACAAGAGCGAAACTCCGTCTCAAAAAAAAAAAAAAAAAAAAAAAGAAAGAAAGAAAGAAAAAGAGGCAGCTAAAATTGATAACTAATTGTAGCTAAGATATTGGACAATATTAAAGTTTGCAAGTTATTAACAAGTCAGGGTTAGGCAGGGGTAATTTTCCAAGGGTTACCTTTCCTTCAAAATGTGATGTTTCTTTTCCTGAATATATCATTACTTTGACTCATCAATATTTTTGGACAAGTAACATTAGCAATAAAAGCCATCTAAGTAATTTGCCATTGTCTTAACCACCTTTTTTGTTTTTATTTTTATTTATTTATTTATTTTTATTTTTTTTATTTTTTGAGACGGAGTTTCACTCTTGTTACCCAGGCTGGAGTGCAATGGCGCGATCTCGGCTCACCGCAGCCTCCGCCTCCTGGGTTCAGGCAATTCTCCTGCCTCAACCTCCTGAGTAGCTGGGATTACAGGCATGTGCCACCATGCCCAGCTAATGTTTTGTATTTTTAGTAGAGACGGGGTTTCACCGTGTTGACCAGGATGGTCTCGATCTTTTGACCTCGTGATCTACCCGCCTCGGCCTCCCAAAGTGCTGGGATTACAGGCTTGAGCCACCGTGCCCGGCAACCACCTTTTTTAAATAAAAAAGGTGACTGTATGCGTTACACATGATAGTTTTTTCTATGTTCTTCTGGTTAAAGAGCAGATAGAAAAAACTTAAGACACAGTGAGGCTGTAACATGCCAAAGGTCACATAACCTGTAGGTACAGACAGATTTTCTGTGATTATTAATCTACTGAAATATTTTACAGTTCATTACATTACTAAATCCAGTGATCAATTAATGACACACCTGACATACACCCTTCTAGTTTCATAAAAATCATCTCATTAGGCTGGGCGTGGTGGCTCACACCTGTAATTCCAGCAATTTGGGAGGCCCAGGGGGTGCAGATCCCTCAAGCTCAGGAGATCCAGACAAGCCTGGACAACCTGGTGAAATCCCATCTTACAAAAAAAAAAAAAAAAAAAAAAAAAAAAAAATTAGCAGGCCTGGCTGAGGTGGGAGGATCACAGGAGCCCCTGAGTTCGAGGCTGCAGTGAGCTGTGCTCGTGTTACCGCACTCCAGCAGAGTGAGGCAGAGTGAGACCCCTTCTCAAAACACACACCCACACACACGACAACAATAACACAATAACAACACATCAACACCTCCAAGATATCTTATTAAACTCTGTGGATCTGTGCCATTTAAACCTAATTGTTTCAGGTAATTGTCTAAAAACATTTTTTTTCCCCCCCTGGAATGGAATGTGTATGTAGGCTCAGGGAATAACTCAGTTTATCAGGTTCTTGGCTCTTTTTTCCACAGGTCCAAAAGGATAAATGGATAAAGTGATGCTGAAATAACTTAGAGAACCAGTATTCCAATGCTTCTATTTTAAAACAATGAAGCCGTTTTTAAAATAGAGAAGTATCTATAATTTTGCTTTCAAGCAAACTAGCGTTAACGGAATCATTGCTATTCAAAACTATTTTTGAAGTATCGGTGTATATTTAAAAAATAATTTTTAAAAAGGAAAGCTCTTATTCTGGATTCCGCCACTCCCCCCATCCCCCCGCCCCCCCATTCTCCGCCCTCCCCCCATCTCGTCCCTCCGATGGCTTAAGTCGCATAGCTGAAAGGATTTTGCTCATTTTTTCCAAAACACTTCACGTCTGGGTAGTAGCCAGTCATGGAAAGTTTCAGGCAAATGTTACATTTGGGAGAGGGATGAAGCTCGTCCGGGGCTGCTCTCAGAGGAGTCGCCAGACGACCTGACCTGGGGGCCAGATGCGAGCTGGGACCGGCCGAGCTCCGACAGCCCGGACACACTCAGCCTCGCCAACCCTGCTGACCTCACAGCCCTCGGCTGCGGGGGCTCTCGCCCATGAGTCTCCCAAACAGCTCGAAGCCCCGGAGTTGAGGAGCCCACCGCTTCATAAATGCGAGAACCCTGAGCCCCCAGTACCCAACTAAGCTAGCCTCGGGGTTGGCGCGGCGTGAAGAAAGTGCTGCTGTGGAGCCGGGCCTGGCTCATCCGCTTCACACGTCAGTTTGACTCCCCTCCCCGCCCCGCCCCCCACCAGTCCCCCGCCCTCCTCTCCGCGCACCCAGAGCCGACAGAAATTTGACTGCTCCAATCGCCAATCAAAAGAGAGGTCGAGGATTTGAGCCAATCGAAGCTGCGAAGGGGGCGTGCCGCTGGCGTTCCCCACCCCCGGGTGTGTGAGCGCCCAAGGTCTCGAGCCCTCCCCTGCGCTTTAGCCTCAGTGCGGAGCCCTAGGCGGTGTGAGGAGGATCGATCGCGAGGATCCTTGGGCGCAGCAGTAGCAGCAGCAGCAGCAGTAGTACCTGCATCCGCTGCGGGAGTCGGAGCTGGAAACACACCCACGTCGCTGCCCTTTCCTCTTCTGTCATCTCACCGCCCCGCCACAGACCGCGTTCCGGGAGGAAAGCGGCCGCCCACGCCCGGAGCATCCTCCCCTGTCCAGGGGGCGCTGACTGACCCGGAGGCATGATGCGGCTGCGAGGCTCGGCGATGCTGCGGGACCTGCTCTTGCGGTCGCCCGCAGGCGTCTGCGGGACTCTGAGGCGGGCACAGCCCCTGGTCACCCTGTGCCGGCGTCCCCGGGGCGGGGGACGGCCGGCTGCGGGCCCGGCGGCCGCCGCGCGACTCCACCCGTGGTGGGGCGGGGGCGGCTGGCAGGCGGGGTCCCTCGCGCGGGGCCTGTCCAGCTCTCCCTCGGAGATCTTGCAGGAGCTGGGCAAGGGGAGCACGCAGCCGCAGCCCGGGGTGTCGCCACCCGCTGCCCCGGCGGCGCCCGGCCCCAAGGACGGCCCCGGGGAGACTGACGCGTTTGGCAACAGCGAGAGCAAAGAGGTGGTGGCCTCAGGTGAAAAGTGAGTGTCTCCGCGAGGCGCCGGAGGCCTCGTTCCGCTCTGGGCCCGGGCTCGGGGGAGTGGGGGGACCTGCTGTGGGGCGGGATGGGAGCCGAGGTCTTAGAAAAGAGAAAGAAAGAGATGCCGGGCGGCTGCGCCATGTGATTAGGCCCGGCCCCGCCCGCGCCTTCCCCGCCTGCGCCCCTCTGCCAGGCCCCCACTTCCCTTCTCCGCCCCCGGCGGGGGTTGCCCGGGTGGAGCAGTGGTGGGGCCTGAGGGGCTCGCCTGGCGTCCCCAGTGCAGGAGAGGCCGCTGCCTTGCCTGCGCCGCGTGCTCTGCTCCCTGGCTCGCGGCTGCAACGCCTGGCTGCCTGCCCTAGCCATTCGTGGGCGATGCCGCACGAACATCTCCACCGTGTGGCATTTAGGAGTCTGGCGTTCACCAGAGCCTTTACCTTCCTGACTTGTCGCCTTTCCTGGCTCTTTTCCGCTCTGCCTGCCCTCCCCTGGTCTCTGCCATCATCCTGTTGGAAGCCAGATATGACAGAGATCTTTATATTTCTGGAGTGGCCATCTCAGGCACGTGTAGAGCCATCTGGGGCACCGGAAACAGTGTTTCAGAAGTGAGATTAGGAGGAATAGGGTCATGTGGCCGAAAGATGGGGCACGCAGTATATAGACCACCTGTTTGCATTGAGGACCAGCTTTGGCCTCTTATGTCTTCCATGAGATGGAGAGATTTTTAGAAATAAAAGTTAAAGAGCCGAGATGAAATGTGACATAATACATTAACTCAGTGAAAAATTTGAGTTAAGTAGGTTTTGTGACTTCATTGTGATAGGATGTTGACTCATCCTGTATGTGTACAGCACAGTAGTTTAGTCTTAAAGCAAAATTGGTTTTTCTTAAACAATATGCAAAACAATCTCCTAAATATTTTTTGTCTTCTGCAATACAAATGGACAACTTTGTTTTCCCAAAATGGGTAAAACTTACCTGTTTGCTTTCATTATACCTTACTATTTTTCTGGCTTTGTATGCTGACACTCTGTAACCTGTTCTGCTTCCCTTTTATTTCTGCTGCTATTTCCAGCTCTAGCGTTCCTTAAGTCAAACCGAAAGTGAGAACGTTCTTACAATTTCAATCTCACGTTTGCTTGATATTTTCCTGTAACTGAAGTTGGGAGCTTCCAAAAACTTTACTAAAGTTCTTCTCCCAGACTGAAGAAGATTATTTGAAAAAAATCACTTGATGGGCGAAATTTGTGGCATTGTGTGATATTGGTTGTGCCACAAAATAACGTCCTGACCATGGGCAGGTTATTTAATATCTTGGGTTAGATAGCTTAAATCCTTTCAAGCTCTAAAAAGCTAAAATCTTGTTAAATATGTACTTTTCTCATGTTTTAGGGACTAGAATGATATTTAGTCTCATCTGGGACTTACTTTACTTTAACATTATCTGGTTTACCATACAAGTGCCCAAGTTACAGAATTGCAAAATGCAGTCACTACCATTTAAGAGTTAACGTTATGGAACTGCTTTCTAGTAAAATTATGTCTTCAGGTCTGTGTCTCTGCAGTGGCTCTAGTGCCTCTCTTTTTTTCCTCTTTTGTCAGATAGGAAATTGAGCTGCTTTTGTGATTCACTTGTCCAGAAGTTTCTGGTTTCATTGCCTTCTTAATAAGAAGTCACCTTTTAGCAATGGCCTCAAGGTTGTGAAGAAAGTATGTTAATTTGGTTAAAGTTTCTATTTCCTGAATGATCTCTTTCCAAATGTAGCTTTTCTCCTTTGGCTCCTTCCATTTTGCCTTTTTGTGACAAACATTTCTCTTATCCTGGGACATAAGCTCCCAGTTGATCCTGTTATCCTTTCTAATGCTTAGCCTCCAAAGCATAGGTCATCCCTCAATCAGCAGTCCACTTGGTATGCTAGCACTCACTCAGGACTGTGCTAGATTTTATGTAGTATTATTAAAATAAATAACCATGTGAAAATTAAATTAATTGACATTTTATAAAAGACAGCACAATATTTGGCGTGTATTAAATGTCACATAACTGTTTATTAGATACATGAGAAAAAAATTGCTTCTTCATTATTTTAAAGTCTCTTAAGGAGATTGGCCTTTGAATTTCAGGCTTGCACACAAAGTTTTTAAATTTTTTTAGTTTCCACAAAAATGTTTACCTTGGGAAATTGCTATACATATGTCTTACATGAAACTATGTGATTTGCACTGTTTACCTTTTGCTCTGCTGATAAATAAGTTCAGAGTAAATTTAATGCTTAACCACACCAATTTCATTAGTTCACATGGCTGAGGTATTTGCTTTTTCTTCATTCCTTGGTCCTGACTTTATATTTTATTTACTTTATATTCTGGAAAGGGGCAGCATATAAGCAAATTACCTTACCTTTTTCCCACAAACTCTTTGAACTAATGTTACTCTAGACTATACTGTCTCCTTTACACAACTTTAGTGTGGTTTAGGATATGAACATCTTAATATCATACAGAAAAATGTAATTATCTTTGCTCAGTTATCCCTATAGTGATCTTATTTAATTTTGTTATGGTTCATTCTGTTATCTTGAAAACCAACTTTGGTTGCCTCTCTTCATTTTCAAAATTGTTCTCTCTTCTTTCCTACTTCTTTTTGGGTTTCCTTACTGGGTAAACCCTGAGGCTGAGGCCTTTGCTCCTTTCCCACTTGTCTACTTTCTCAACAGTGTATCCCTTCTTTCAACTTTGACTTTCATCTTTGTGTAGGTAATACTTCATCTCTTAATCTAAGCTCCATTCTTACGTTTGTCTCCGCATATCTGATGACTTCAAATTTAAAATCTATACCCCAATATTCATTATTTTCTCTAATTCAATCTATTTTGCATACTGTTATGAGATTAATTTTAGAGTTTTAATTTGAAAATATCACTCTCCTTCCAGAAAACCAACAGGAACTGAAATGAACATTTTATATATATATATATATGTGTGTGTGTGTCTATTTTTTTTTTTTTAAGATGGAGTCTTACATGTTGCACAGGCTGGAGTTGCAGTGGCATGATGTTGGCTCACTACCAACATCAATTCTCCTGTCTCAGCCTCCTGAGTAGCTGGGATTACAGGTGCACACCACCACACCCGGCTAATGTATATCCTATTTTAGTGAAGGGTCCCTTGGAAGAGTCAAAGAGATAGAGGTACAAGGGCATTATTAAGTTTTTTTATTTGGGCATTTATTTTTTAATGAGAAAGGAAATGAGATAACGGAAATTGAGCTGAAAAAATACCAGCAAATGTATGTTGTTTAGAAAATAGATAATTCATGCAGGATGCAATATTGAAAGTATTCTCTTAAGACAACAGTGAGGTCAGTTTCTCCTTGTCAGATTGGCAGTTGTTAAGTCAAGTGATTAGAAATAGGAACTCTTGCATTGCTAGTAGAAGTATAACTTAGTTCAGTTACTTTGGAGGGCAGTTTGGTAGTTTTGGTTAAAAACTGCATACTGTGAGGTAGTAGTTGGATGTTTGCACATCTACATGAAGTCCTGGTATTCAAAAATATTTGTAATTACACAAATAAGCATAATTTAAAGTATATTTATATTTAAAAGTTCAAGAAAAAATGATTTCAGCTAGTTTTAGATAGTATGGATTTATGTTTTGATTGTTCAGCTTTATGTTTTAATAGTTCATATACTTAGTAAATGGAAAATGAAGGGCAAAGAAAATTGTGGTGTATACTCTGAAAACTGAATATCAAAGTAAGATTAAATGGTTATGCTTTTCAGCAAACATTGAATTGGGTAGATTGAGCAATACTAGTAAGAAAGTTGAGTCAGTATTTGGCAGATATAAATATTATGTTTTAGAATTGAATGACAGAACCCCTTTTAAAATAGGTAGCACGTTTTTATGATCCTTCAGTATTGCATTTGTTCTTGATTTTAAAAGTTAACATATTTACAGTTCACTAAAACTGAAATCACGGTGGAAAGTATGTTTAATTTTTTTGTTTGGGCTTCTCAAGTAGCCCCTTATTTATTTATTTATTTATTTATTTATTTATTTATTTATTTTTTAAGACAGAGTCTTGCTCTGTCGCCCAGGCTGAAGTGCAGTGGCATGATATCGGCTCACTGCGACCTCTGCCACCTGGGTTCAAGCAATTCTCCTGTCTCAGCCTCCCGAGTAGCTGGGATTACAGGCACATGCCACCCTTAGTTATATTTGATTTCTTCAATATTAACAGTTTTTTCTAGGTAATGATTATCAGTGAGTTTTGGATTTCTGTTTTTTTAAAAGCACGTGAAAAAAGTAACAATAACTATATGTCATAACATTTTTGTGGCCTAATATTTATATTAAAATTTGCATTAATCGCTTCTCGCCCTTTTGGCTAAGATTAAGTGTAAAATGTGCATTAATTAGTCATTGACAAATTTGTCCATGATTTGTAATTAACAAACTTCATGCTGTTAATTTTAATTTTATTAATATTTGGATGAAGTTTACTGTAAGGGCAAGAATTAGATTCTGAGGGGTTTAGTCTCCCTGAGTTTTAGCTGCATGTTTCCAGATCTTACTCTTTTATAGAGAAGTCTGCCTACCTCAAAGTCAGCTAATTGATGAAATGACTACCAAGTAGAATTCAACCTTTTTTATGAGGCAATAGGTAGGCCAGCTAAAAGGGAGGAGGGCACTATTTTAGTCCAAAGATAAATGTCACCTTGAAAGAAATTTGCTGAAGATATTTGTGGGTTTCTTTGAGTTTTAAAAAGTTACTTAAAAGAAATCAGGCGGGGCGTGGTGGCTCATGCTTGTAATCCCAGCACTTTGGGAGGCTGAGGCAGGTGGATCATTTGAGGTCAGGAGCTTGAGACCAGCCTAGCCAACCTGGTGAAACTGCATTTCTAGTAAAAATACAAAAATTAGCCAGTCGTGGTGGCGGGCGCCTGTAATCCCAGCTACTCAGGAGGCTGAGGCAGGAGAATCGCTTGAACCCGGGAGGTGGAGGTTGCAGTGAGCCTAGATTGTGCTACTACACTCCAGCCTGGAAGACAGAGTGAGACACTTTCAAAAAAGAAAGAAAGAAATCAGTAAAAGGCTGTACTACTTCTTTCTTGTGATATTTGAAATGAAGAAAAATTATGACTATAGAAACTGAAAGCTTAATTATAGAATTTGTGTTAGGGAGCTCAATCATGTTAAATCCTATGTAAATCAAGGTTATATTATATAGTTGCCTGTCTGTGCCTTTTCACCTTTAAGTCATTTGCTAGTAAGAAAAATGCTTAAGAAAGCTAAGTGAACAGATGTATTTATAAAAATGTTGCTAATTACTGATATCTCTAAGTGAGGTACACAGCTTTCACATAGAGATACTGTTAACTACAGTTTTACCCCGTAATCTACTCAGGTGTAAAATTGCTTAGGTTATGAAACACGTTGCTTATGATTGATCACTGCATTTAGTGATTTTCTGACCCCCTACAACATAGTAGAAGCAAATTTTTTTTTTTTTAGAAGCAAAATATTAATGTGCCTTGACTTCCATTTGGAAGTGTCCTCTGCTTGGTATGTAACATTCATTATAAAGAAATGTTTATAGTGAAAGCATTACTTTCAAAACATGGAACTGTACATGTTGCATAATGAACAAAACAGTGATAACTTTCAGGATTAAGAAATATATTTTTGTGTATTAATTTCTGGTATAGGCTTCTAAAAAAGATTTTTAAAATTGTCCTCTCGATGAGGATATTTTGAGTGACATAGACACTTCCTTCAATTTTTGATGGGATTGTAAACTTTCTGAAGAGCAATTTTTAACCTCTATGAGGAACTTATTAATTATTCATACCTTTTTAGGAATCTAAGCTTACAAAATAAACTGAAGTGTTAGATCTATTCCTTAATATTTTTGGTACAGTGTTATGCATACTAGAGAAAAATGGAGAAAAACTCATGTTCAACATTAATTGGATAGTTAAGTAAATTATGGTACATTCATATGAGAGTCTCTTACTTAGTCATGTAAAATGTTTGCGGATACTTTTTGGGACATAAGAAAATGTAATGTTAGACCAAAAGTTAGAATACAGAATTTTCTATGCAGTAGAATCTCAAGTGATCTTAAGCTATTTTAAAAAGCTCAGAAAAAGTAATAGAAGGAAGTAAGCCAAAATGATATTACCAGTTGTGGTTTATGAGAATAGGCATTATTTTTCCTGCCTCCTTTTGGTACTTTTAAGGTTTCCTATTATGAGTGGGAAACTTCTAAAACAGTAAAAAACATTACACAATTTTGAAAATCAAAGGAACCACGTCTGTTAAATTTTGAACTTGTAAATCTCTACTGCCTAGTCTTCTACCCCAATATCTTGATTCTGGTTATATAAGAATAGTAAACACCATTACATTGAAAGAAAAGTATGAAAATAGATTATGTATGAATTTGTACAGCTCCTGTTCATTAGTATTATGCATATTCACTGGTATCCTCAAACGTCAAACTTTAAAAATTTAAAACTATTCTTGGTAAATGTTACATATTTCTCTACCATATTAAAACATTGCAATGAATAGAGGTTAACGTTTCTTGTTCAACTTACGTGTATTTTAAGAAAGCAATATTATTTATTTATTTATTTTTAAGGAAGCAGTATTGTATTGCACTGTAATACAGTGATGCTGTAAGACAAGTGCTGGCATACTTTCCCTGACAGGTCCAATTGTAAATATTTTCAGCTTTTAGGGTTCTCTAGTCTCTATTACAACTACTCAGTTCAGTGGTGGTAGCAAAATAGCTACAAACAATAGGTAAATGGATGTGGCAGTCTTCTGATAAAACTTTATTTACAAAAAGAAGAGGCCCCTCCTATGGTTTGCCTACCCCTGCACTAAAATATGTTTATTGGTAAGTTCTCTCATGCCTTGATTGGTTCTGCTTTAACCAGTACTCTTAAGGGTGAGTTTGTTCTTAGGTGAATTTTTGTATCTTTTCCTCTACTTGTTCCTGTTATTCATGTCTCCACTTTAGCAATTCTCCTTCACTCTCACCTTCTGTATCCAGTTCTGCTTAGCAGCTTTCAAAAAATTGCAGTAAAACATACATAACATAAAATTTACCATTTTAACCATTTTAAAGTTCCCAGTTTGGTGGCATTAAGTACTTCTCTTAGTTTTTGTGTTAAGAACCCAGATAAATTTGCTTATTTGTAAATAAAAGTACGTAAGTCCTGAGTGAATAAAGTTTATGATCTCACTTGAGTGTAGAGATTTAGAGGACATCTATTTTTAGCAACTCAAAAACTGAGAATTAGGCATGGAAGTGGCTTTAAAAAACATTTAGTTCCAGCTCATTTTACATATTATATGAGCTGCCCACAGATATTAAATGACCTAAACAAGTTCAGACAGTTTTAGGATTTGTTTTGCTTTTTCTTTTTTCATCTATTAGCAGCAAATTAATTCAATTTATACAATTAAATTTTTTTTATGTTCAGGATTATAAGAGATCTTACAAACCCTTCTCCCCAGCTGCTGCTTTCCTCTCTTCTGTTATGTACTTCCTATAGGTTGTTACTCATCTCTACTTGTATACTTCCTTTGCATGGGAGTTCACTCCCTTAGAAGGCAGCCCATTCCATTTTCGTAGCTGTTTCATTTTTCTTTTCTTTTTTTTTTTTGAGACGGAGTTTCACTCTTGTTACCCAGGCTGGAGTGCAATGGCGTGATTTCGGCTCACTGCAACCTCCGCCTCCCGGGTTCAGGCAATTCTCCTGCCTCAGCCTCCTGAGTAGCTGGGATTACAGGCACGCACCACCATGCCCAGCTAATTTTTTGTATTTTTAGTAGAGACGGGGTTTCACCGTGTTGACCAGGATGGTCTCGATCTCTTGACCTCGTGATCCATGCGCCTCGGCCTCCCAAAGTGCTGGCTTGAGCCACCTTGCCCGGCCACTGTTTCATTTTTCTTTATGTGTGACTGAAGTCTTCCGTTACTTTCTACCTATATATTTTAGTTATTCTGAACAAGTCATCTATACTGGCATCAAAGTGATTCCAGTGACAGAATTCATATAATACCTGTATTATTCCATCTAGACTTATGTATTAAAGGATACTTGGCTGAAGAAATGGATTATTGGGAAAACTAACAGAGTTGGACATTATAGACTTGATCTCCCCAGATCCTAATCTTCCCACCTGAGACAGCCAGACTGCCTTTTGGATTAAACTTCTGAAGTTGTGCAAACACATGGACAAATTGCCATCAGCTGACAGGGACAGCCTGACTGTTTCCTCATATAAAGCTGGCTTTTGTATTTTTTACTTTGGTCTACTTTTAAATGAATTTCTTCTATAAAGTCCAATCAAAATAACAGCCCTAATTTAATATAATCTCATCTTTGCTTTGATAAGATACAGTTTTGTCAAGGCAGAACAATTTAGTTTTCTTATTTGCATTTGGTTAGAAATTTTTCAATTGGTAAGGAGCTTCATCTTTTATTATCCTTCAAGAATTACAGATATTCATCCTAAAATAATAGAATGCTAACCACTGAGGTGCATGACGTTTCAGAGCAGGAAGAGTCGGGATCGAGGAACAAAGGACTGATTCTGGTCCAGCCACTTAAGATTTATGTGACATTGGGCATGCTATTTGACTTTGATACTCTTTTTTTTTTTTTTTTGAGACGGAGTTTCACTCACGTTACCCAGGCTGGAGTGCAATGGTGCGATCTCGGCTCACCACAACCTCCGCCTCCTGGGTTCAGGCAATTCTCCTGCCTCAGCCTCCTGAGTAGCTGGGATTACAGGCACGCATCACCATGCCCAGATAATTTTTTGTATTTTTAGTAGAGACGGGGTTTCACCATGTTGACCAGGATGGTCAACATGGTGATG